GCGCTAGAGTCATTTTCATCCGTCTGTGAAATAGGAATTGTACTATTAAATACTATTACCCCCTATTAGCTCCCAATAGTTTAACTTATAACATGCGACAAACAAATTAGACAAAAATGGTTTTGATATTGCCTTTTGCTCGGTAGCCTCACCATAATAGTTGATATTAAACACTGACTCGTAGTAGAAATTGTTTCACAGACGGATGAAAATGACTCTACCTGAACTCGACTTCAAACTTGCTAAATATATGTTCTGAAGTAATTAGGAAACTTTCATACAGTCATTAGCAAACATTCTGACCGTCAACAAATATAATTATAATTATATTGGGAGCATCATGGGTAATGTTGTAGTGTTAATTCCCACTGAATTCTCTCAAGTTTCTTTCGTCTAATCTACAATATATTGCGCTATTTAACACTGTCTGGTTAATACGTTTTCATAGAGTGATCGCACTTAAATCGTGCAACTGTACAAAATCTAAGTAGTACTAATTTGTACTAGAAGTGGACCTGAAGCAAGACGGTATTGAATGCTTCATTTGTATCAATTCAATTTAATTTGCGTGCCGCGTACACGATTTACTAAATACAACTAAATAGCACTATCTAGTTTGTACAGTTGCATGGTTTTAAGTACGATCACTCTACTCTTAGTATTTGCACTTTATCAGTCAGGGTACATTTATCTTTATGAAAACTCGAAAACTAAACTTTTTAATGTTCTAAAAATATTCGACCAACAACCCAGCCTTGATATTTGATTATCCTGTGATGGTTACATCGTCTCCAATTAGAAAGAAGGCCGCCCAGTATTTTGGTTCCTTGTATCTCTCTATTTCTCTCATGTCCTTCATTGCCTGCTGCAGACTCTTACTCGCACTCTCTCCATTCTTGAGATGGGAATAGAATTTCAGCATAAAGACCTTTGTTGCTGCGTCATCAATGGCCCAAAGTGATGCTACAACGGCACGAGCTCCTGCAGCAAGAAAGGCTCGAGCAATTCCAACCACTCCCTCAGACCTGATGTCACCTTTACCGCTGTGACAACAGCTCAGCACAACCAGTTGAGCACGAATTCCGCTCTCCTGTGCTTCCTTCATGGTCAAGATGTTGCCCTTGTCATTCGCTGCACACGAATTCATCGGAGGATTACAAGGAGCCAGTAGGAT